AAAAAAAAATGAACGTTATATTGAGAACCACTCAATTTGCACGCAAGTCTACAAGCAAATCCATTTTTGAGCAAACTGAAGATGATGCATTCTTTTAAAAGGACTTATAAGGAGAGTATAACAGAAAGTAGAAAAGGAGGAAATCTAAAAGAATACCATAACTTGTATGAGAGAAGCAAGTCGCAGTGAACTGAACCGTCGTAAGGAATTCATTACATAAATGCACCATGACAACGTTTTTCATACATCAAAATGATCTCTACATAGAATGTCTTCTCTGTGCTTACTTCATTTGGTGAGATCCGGCGCAGGGACAAATCTCCTATTATACACTTTTTCTTAGTTGTTCGTTTTAGCCACTCAAAAGTTTTCTACTTCCACAACTTTGCAAGCTACCTTTTGAAAATTTACATTGGCTTTCAATCAGCGCTGACTAGCAGCCATTAAAGTTACCAAATAAACTTGATTCAATATCTTTATCATAAAAACGAAATTTTAGAGAAAAATATTTAAATTTTCGATGTAAGGCATAAATTCTATTTGAAACTGGCTATAACAGCATAGATTTTGGTGATTATGATTCTTCGCTGATTACGTTAGCCGCTGACCATAGAATAGTTCTATGCAATTTTTGTAGATAAAACTGTATGGACCATAATCTAACACTGATTGATGCACAATCATTGCATCTTTTCGGTCCCTTGCTTTTTCCGGTGGATCCTATGGCGCTGGGTACAGGTTCCGCAGACCATTAATCTTTCCGGAAAGTTGAACTTTCGAGTGCTGCAAGAACGTCCTCGTGTCAACAGCGCACGTTAGAACTGCGCCATACTGCACTGAATGGAAATCCTCCGCCACTAAACATCCTTTTAGGAATGACGTCTGAAGGAGGGGGAGCAGTTGCATTTCCTGTGATGACCATTGGGCTGAAGATTGCACCACACGTAGCCAGAGACTTCTCATTGATTGTTCAGTCCATAGGTTGAAGTTTGAGTTGATGACTCATGCTGTCCAACGATATCTTATTGTTTAGGGATGAGTTGTGCTCTGTTTGTAATCCTATTCATGAACGTGCAGATCGAAAAGCGAGCTGTGATTTTTGGAACAATTGGTTCAGTACCCGGGTTCATTTTCGGGTCTGTCGTGGTGAGTGTACGCCAAACTCCATTGAATGTTGAGTGAAAGGACAGAGAAAAGATGAGATGATTCAAGACCCTGTAAACAGTCAGACCACTTTATTCACAAAAAGCATACTATTCAGAAACCATACATTGTGTTTGAACGGTGATTATGTAATTCTGATTTGATACTGGACAGTTAGAGGTGAGTAAGCTGATTAGCTTCTGGATAGATTGTCTTGGGTGTCCCTTTGTTGGAGAGAAAATACAGAGGAGCTCTAACTTGCCTTTTGTTTACTTCATAAAGCTAACGCAAAACATCAAGAGACAAGTACCATGATTGTTTGTTTTTGCTACAATTACGGTTAGTAATGCACGTCAAAATATGTTCAGATAGACTCATTTCTCACTCCACCACAAAAGAAAATGTTATTTGTCTCGATATGGTCATCATT